CTTCCGCTGGATTCCCATTTGCATTATTTTAGTCGTCATTGCGTTCCCGCGTTTGCGATCTCTTGGTCGGTCATACAGAAGATGTGTGCTTTTAGCGTGACGTAGGGCACTGGACATTGTCAGAGAAATGTTCAACAGGTGTTTTTCTACTTAGATAATCGTTCAGTTTGACAAAGTGAGACGAGCTTTTAATTTAGGAAAGACATTCAGACGGTTGATAATAACGATCAGCAGACTGAAATGACAATATTTAAAAAAGAAAGCGTAGAAAGGAGTGTTGGTGTCTCGCGAACGTAATTGAATTATTCAGCATGTAGATCGAATAATGTACAAGTTAAAATGCTTTTCATAAATAAAATTGTTCGTAGTAAATATAGAATATTTCATGAATGATATCTTTATGAGAAGAGAGAGTTTTGCTTGAAATAAGTTGACGTGAAGATTTCTTCGAATAGAATCTTTCTGTTGCATATTGATTCGTGGATTATTTCTTTGGTCATATTTGAGATACAAAAAATACCGTTTTACTTCGAGATAACAGTTCGAAATGCATTATTTTCAACAGTTATTTCTCGTTCCCATTCCAAACAAGATTTGTCCAGGTTCGATGCGAGCCGACTCGTCTCCCGACAGGCTCGCGCAAATGGAGGATCTGCTCGCAATTAAGAGACAGCACGGACCCTTTCTATCCAGAACAGTGGAATGATTATCGCGCTTAATATTTCGAGGAAATCGTGATGAAGTAAATAACGATTCGAAGCGAGTGAAAGAGTGCGCTCGTTCGTCTGAAAATTAACAGTGCCGCACCGTCAATGCGGACAGTAATTGGAAAGGTTAAAGCGAAGCTGATTTCATCTATTCGGAGTTCAGCGGTCCCCCATTCGCATCACCTTTATGCAATCTCGCCGTCTCTCCACTTAATTCTCCTCTTTTCAGAGTGTCTATCGGCGAGGCGCGACGTAATCGCGTTACTAATCAACACGCAATTAACAAACCGACGTACTTTTCAGAAATTCTGGAAACGGGAAAGCTTATTAAAATCGAGCGAATTATCATAAATCTGAATGAAGCGCAATTTTCTTGTAATCCGAGCGGCTAAGGCGCGACTCAATTTCTCATTCAAATGCTAATGGACGCCTCCATTATAATAACGCCGATATCGTTCGTGTTCGATCCTGTTTGGACCGCGATCATTTTAATCGCTCCCGCGCCACAAATATCGTTCACGTTATTCCACGAACGCAATTTCAATTTTCACGGACCTCCAACTTTCCGGAGACGTATTTCTTGCATAGAGCTCTGCGCGCGGAATACGAATTTACCGAATATTTATCCGCTTTCAAGTTACTCCTCGATACGGTATCGACGAATCACGAAGACTTATTTTGAATTGTTCTACGATTAGAGACAAAATGATGTGAAAAGAAAGACGATATTACATTACGGATATGTTCAGGTGTTTGATCCTTTATATTTAAAAATCATGTAACGCGATTTGAGCTGAACAGATCAGAGAATTATACTAAATTAATTAATTATTTAGGCACACGTGCTGGAAACATAAAAACATGATAACGTTAAAGAAAGATGAAAATGCTTTGAACGTGCAATTTATCGTCGAAGTTTCGCAATTTACATTGAAAATTAAGAATACAGATGAAAATCAGATTCCATAAAATACATTTTTAACCGCGTTATTTTTTAAGGAAAATTGCACTTGCATAAATGATCTATGAGAGAAAAATTCGACAGCTTTGCACGTCGAAAATTCATATTTCGAAAAATACCGAAAATCGAGTGAAAAATTCGGTGCCAATGAACTGATTAAAAGTAAAAAGAAAACATGTACTGATGCAAGATATGAATTTTCGATAATTTTCGGATACGTTTCGAATAATCTGATTTCAGTAAGTCTGCTCTAGTCACACATAATTATCGCGTTCACAAATACCTTCCCTGATTACGAACGATTCATTTGACTAGCACGGCATGCCTCGTCGCAGTAACGTTGCGGCGGTCTCGCAAGAATGTAGCTGGCACCTTGTGGAATGCGCGACAAACGTGTTGCGATTATGCGACGTGTCTCCACTTAGACAGTGATGGTACCTCGAGAATCTCGAGACGGACTGCAGCCTGTAGGGTCCCGGGACGACCGCCAATCTTGTGACTGAAAGTCCCTGTAGACTAGTTAATCGAAAGGGTTGAAACGGACGAAAAAATATTTTAAAAAATATACACAGTAAATTCCCCCTAATTTTCAACTTGCGAACAAAACTTAGAATTGTTGACGATCGAACAATCGTATCTCTTCTTTCCAAATCGTTCATTTTTGTGCGCAATCTGAAGAATAATTAGGGAGAATTTGCTGTACAAGGTTGCGTTAACCCTTTGCACACGAAGCTATTTCAACTGCGAAATGATAACATTGAATCTGTTGACTTATAGAAGACTTAAAATTTACCGAATACAAACTCGAATAACGTGAAAATTCTGTTAAAATGTAGCATAACAGTTTTTAGCGCCGCCTCAGAGTCGCCGATCGAGTGCAAAGGGTTAAAAAGGAAACCAGACCGAACGCATCGTAGAACTGCATGAATCGCTGCCTTAACTTCGAGGAATATTTGCGCGTCGACATGGACGATTGCTAAACTGGAACACATAAATAAAAGTCTAAGTAAACTTCGTCGGGATCGATACGAACGAGTCGATTATTACGCGTCCCTGCCGGGTTCGGTCATCAAAGCTACGAATTGGTACGAACTTTCAGACTTTGATCTGTTTTCAACGCAAACGTTTTTTTTTATTAAAGATTCGGAACTATTGGCGGACGATACAGAGCCCGTAGAATTTTCTTCACCTCGTTGAACAGACATTAGCCAATCGACTCGTTTTGTTTACCCTTTCGACGATACATCGGTAGACGATCCAACGGATGGATGCATAGTGTACACCTCGTTTTTAGCGAATCCGGTCGCTAGCAGTGGCGAAAGCCTCGTGATATCATTTTGTCTCATTATTTGTCGAAATTAGGTAAATAATAGGTGCAAGCAAAAAGAAAGGGTAATAAGAAAGAAAAATATTTTCTATCGAGCTCGATGTATCCACAACCTCTTTTGTTATCTTCCGAAACGTTACATAAATCGTGGGATTCGCGAACGGCGAAAGCTGTGCTTCGTATTAATTATACATTCTCTGCGGTAAGTAGAGACTGCGTAAACGTAAACGTAAACGTAAAAGTAAACGCCGTTGGTTACGCAAGCATTACTAAAGTATTCAGTGGTACAGTACGGCAACTCCTGAAATTTATTAGCATTTCAAATCTTCGAGCACAAAGTTCGATAATTCCGGCACGGGGCGTTCCGGAATTTTAACGCTGCTACCCAGTCGAACTAGCCGAGACCACTGGTTCCTGATATTTTCGTTCGCAGTCGCTGAAATCATAGAGTCTTGTCTACGAGAAACATTTCGACGAACTTCTTCGCCGAAGCACGCGTTATAATTAGATTGCAGATTTTATGCATTTGAAACGGACGAACGAAACACGGAACACCGAAGACGCGAGACGAATTTAAAGACACCGTTGCATCACTTTCGTCGCGTTATCATAATTCATAATATTGTAATAATTTTTATCTAACTTCCGTTTCATTTAAAGCGCGACGAAAGTGTTTGTTTCGCATAAAGAACCGCAGTCTAGTTACAACAGAAGCCGCGCGAAGTTTAAACAAATGCAAACTCGTCGTCTCGTTGCAAAACAATACATGTCGGTCGTATTTGGTAGTTCCGGCGGTTAAAAAGAGCCTCGATCGAACTCGCTTGTTCCATCAGCGACGTAAAAATCGACCACAACGTCGGCGAACCTTTCAGTTCTTCCCAGCAAACGAAAGGTTGGGAGTAGAACGGAAGCATAGGAATGAACTCGTCCGGTCGCATTGAAAGCTTCAACGTATACAATGACCGCAACCGGACCTGAGCACATTTCAAACGCTGTTGCTCGAAATATACATTATTTCGAAATATTATTAATTTCACAATTATTTTGTTTCGTAATTATTTCCGTGCCCGCGATCACCTTCGAAATGATATTGTTCGAGATATTATTTTAAATGACACGCGTTATTATTTCGCTCGATAATTATTTCCGTGCCCGCGATCGCTGTTGAAATCATATTGTTCGAAATATTATTTTAAATGGCGCGTTGTCTTATTTTACAATCATCTGAAATTATTGTTCTCGGGCAATCGTGACGTTCTTCCTGGAAATTATACGGCGATCTCGTTGAGGACAGCCTTAACCCTCGTATACTTTTTGAATTGAAATAAAAATTATGTTAATACTTCTGACTTAAAATAAAATCTTTTAATTGTACATTGTTTTGAGATCTCTTGTAATATTCGAACCGAAACGCTTCGTTATTCGCGAAATACTTCGCGAAGCACTTCATTATTTGAAATTGCTATTATTTCAAGTGGAGGAGCGGTATTATTTTTGTTTTCAAATAAAGCGAAGTGGTCGATCGGCATCGAATAATGCAAACAATTATTTCTAATTTCAAGCAAAACTTGCCCAGGCCCGTGTCGCAGCAACCTACGAACACCACCGACATAGGTCGCCGTCAAAATACATCCTCCTTATCGTACAAATTTACATTGCACCGAATCGTCCCTCTTCCCGCGCCTTCACTTCGTAGAAAGTTCGTTTATACAATAACCTTTACAAGATCAATTTGCTATTAACGCTGCGATCGTGGAGTTCTTGATTATAAAACTTCCACCGACACTCCTGGGTAAGGACGCGAGAAAAAGAGAGAGAAAGAGAGGGAAAGAGAGAGAAGAAAAGAAAAAGGGAAAGAGAGAGAAAGAAAGAGATATATAGAGAGAACGAGATAAAGAGAAAGAAAGAGGGAGAGAAAGAGAGATGGAGACACAAAGAGAGAGAAAGGGAGGAAAATAGAATTAGAGAGAAAGAGACAGAAAGAAAGAAAAAAGAGAGAAAAAAGAGAAAGAAAGAAAGAGCGAGAAAAAGAGAGAAAGAGAGAGAGAAAAAGAGAAAGAGAGAGAGAGGAAGACGGTGCCACGAGACAGCAATCACTTCCACCGGGCTCTGTTTCCCGAACTCCATCGCGAGCGCCGCGCTTTGCTTCGTAGCCACCTAATATCTGTTTCGCCGTAATCAACACCCCTTTAATTGAACCGTCGAGTTCATCGGAACTCTTCGCGAGCCTCCGCCGGGAAAGTATCCCCGTCACGTACCACTTGTAAACCTCATTTAGATCCCTGCGAGGACTTCGAAAGTTGGAAAAGTTCACCGAGCAGTCTTGAGATAGTCATTATCTTCGCAAATTGTCCCCAAGCTGCTCCAATCCCAGCCCCGTTGTCATAGAATTCGAAATTCTTAGCGGAATTAGGAGACGACGACGACGACGACGGCGGCGGCCATTAAGCTCGTGTTCGAAGCGACGGGACGCGACGAGGAGAGGACCGAGGACCGAGCGGAGCGGAGCTGTTCGACGCGGCCGAATATCGGCCGAATTGACTCCGCGGACGACCCGACACCCGTGAGCCACGATAAATTGCCGGCGATCGTTTCCGCGTGATCCGCCGTAAAACACCCGGGGACTCTGGCGGCGTTTCGGCCGCGAGTCGGCCGATTTATTGTTGCGTGTTTCCGAACGTTTCCAGGACCGCATCCTGGCATCCAGGGATCATCCGTTGGCCGGTGACGCTGATTAACCGGCGCGTCTGGCCGCGCGCGATCCTCCCGCCTGGAAGAAGCGCCGCCGCCGGGATTAGCTCTTCCCCTCGACGCCGTCGCGACGGAACGTCGGCTCGACAGGACACACCGGAGCCAGTCGTGTTCAAGGATACCCTGGATTTTCCGAACGGCTTCGACGAGCGGAGCGGCCGCCCCTCGCGAGGGGCGCCCCGGTCGTTGATCAATCTGCACCCACGCGTTAAGAAAATTCGCGGCGAGCCTAGATCGCAGGCTCCTTTGATCTCAGATTCGGCCCGTGATCCTCCAGTTCGTTCCGCCCGATAGAATGAAATAGACCCGGACCGTCGGAGCCGCGTCTGGTAGCGAGGAGGTCGCGCGAAGGCGCCCCGAGCAAAGCCTCTTCGTCCGACTCGCAGAATCGTCCAGGATTCTTAATCCGCCGGTCCTGTCTGGCGGCCGGCGATCGTTTGGATCACCTGTTGTCCTGACACGGCAGATTATCCTGGGAGCTTCTTCGGGACGTTCACGTCGCAGGTAACAGGAAGCCATTCACTGGAAGAGAGTCTAACGGGCATTAACTCCTTCCCTCGAACGAGCACAGCAGAATGGCCAGGATAAGGGGCAGCAGGACACTGCTAGTCGGCGAACGGCATGCGGTCGCTTCGGGAGACGCGGCGGATTTCGTGGGTGGATTTCTAGCCTGGTCATTCATCACGTCGCTGGATATCGCGGCGCTGTTTGGCTCCGCCGAGGGACAGCTTATCGGGACGCTCATTGTGTCGTTGCTCGACGTGGAATCTCGGGAGCAACGGCTCGCGTGGTGGCCCAGGCAGCCGGCGTACGAGATGGCATGTGGTATATAGCTCTGGTCGATGCTGCCCGAGAACAAGACATTCGCCAACGGGCCTATGGCGAATACCGGCACGTCCTCTCCTGCGTGGGTCGCCCAGGCTCGCGGCACACCCGCCGTCTGGAAAACAGAATGAATCTCTGATCAATCGAGGGGATTCGCGATTTCGGTCGTTTCGATGCTTCGTTCAACCTTTCGGATTGTTTCCACGGGAATTCGGATCGGGATGGAGAAGACAGGAGACAGGCGGTTCGTGTAATTAGGTGCTTAATGCTAGATTTGTGGAGCTCTAATTGCAGCTGTTGCATATTAGTTTATAAATGTAACGATAAGAGTGCTGATTCGGTAGCTAGTGCTATTGTAAACAACTCGGAAATGTATTTTTATCATTTGAATGATCGTAAATTGAAAAATTAGTGATCCGTTATTTTGACGGGTTCTGTAAGTCTAGTGTTAATGTAACAGGTAGATTACAATTAAGGAATTTTAATTACAAAGTAATTTAATTACGTTGTATTTCAATTGTATTGCGTCTCAATTGCATTGTGTTTCAATTGCATTTTATTTCAATTGCATTGTATCTAAATTGCATTGTATCTCAATTGCATTGTGTTTCAATTACATTGTATTTCAATTACGTTCTATTTCACAATTACACCGTATTTCAATTACATTGTATCTCAATTACACCGTATTTCAATTACGTTGTACTTCAATCACATTGTATTTCAATTACGGTAACAAGAATCCCCCTTGATCTATTGAAATGATCAAACTAAGAAAGAAATTCTCCAACAGCTGCTGCTCTCTGCTAAAGATGCACAAAATTTGTATTCTGCTTGAAGATCCGCAGTCTGCTGGTAGAAAGTCCGCTGACTGCACCTATTACTCGCAACTTCGCGGGCAAATAGCTGGAGTTCACGTTCGGATAAGTGGATTCAATCATATGTCTTGCTTAGTCCTCGGATTATAGCAATAGCTCAGGGTCTGTCACATAATTGAGTTTCATATAATTGGAGTGACGCTCGGTACTAGTTCAGATAATAGGAGTTCAGCTAATCCGGGTTAGATCGCATAAATAGAATTCGGATAAATGGAGCATGTTATCACGTTATCGATCGGGTTATCGTCTTCATTTCTTACAACAAAATATCATTTTTTAATATTGTCTAATTATCTAATCCCTCTGACATCTCAATAAAAGTTAGATTGGCCCAATCCAATGGCCTTTGATTTGTTTTCGAGCATAATTGACTTTCAATTTATTGAAGAATATTAATTGAATTTATTCAATAATTTCATTCAAAATAGACAAAACAAAGGAGTTAAAAAAATTAACGTGTCTTACTTTTGATGAAAAAGACCAGAAAACGACCAGAAGGCACAGCAATTTGTCAGCCCACAGTAACCGATACCCTATCCCGTTTGAAAAGGCATTCGAATACTTGAAATACTTTATTAATTAATAAATAATACCTTGATTAATTAAACTCAAATACTCGCTGCAGATAAATCTTGCAAATAGCGTCGTACTAAGTTAGATTTTGGTCAATAATGGAGACTAGCCGAATGGACAGTCGTGTGCCCGCCATTTGGCTCACTCCTTACGACCGAAATTAACCTCTTCGAAATGTGCATCGAAATGATAATCACAGAGGCGGAGTGCCAATAAATCTCGCCATCAATTTCCAGCCGGACCGCGATTCCCCGGCATGAACGAAATTCCAGTCCGCGGCCTCGTTATCGAAACCAAGGGACACGGCCATGCAATTCCAACCTTCTAATTATGATACATGACCAGCTGATATACCGTGAGGCTGCCATTGATCGCGTTCAATGTGTTCGTTTACATAGAACCGTTCCCGGTTCTTCAACGTAGAACAAAAGTATATTTTCCGTTATTTCGTTGGTCAGGAAAAATAGATAAAATGCTTGAATTACCGTTTCATATAGGTTTCGAATATTTTTCTTTTAATGCAAATTTCAACCCCCGTTGGAACAGTGGAGATCCGGCTGGATAATTGGACCCGGGGGAATTCGCGCGACTAATTGGTTTCATGTTACATACTCCTAAATTTCGGTTCTTTGTCAGTCGCGTAATAGTTCCTTTCCAATTAGCGAATGTTTTCCTGCTTAACCGTTTAGCGCTTGGAACGGATATTAAACTATCACTTTTAAGAACACACTGCAACGAGTCGAATTTGCTTAAACAGGTTTCGAAAATTCATTTGAACGTTTTCTGTGCGGTTCATTGGACTGCAGATCTTTGCGCAGTTATTTTATGCATAAGTTTGTCAAATACGAGACAANTAGCTCAGGGTCTGTCACATAATTGAGTTTCATATAATTGGAGTGACGCTCGGTACTAGTTCAGATAATAGGAGTTCAGCTAATCCGGGTTAGATCGCATAAATAGAATTCGGATAAATGGAGCATGTTATCACGTTATCGATCGGGTTATCGTCTTCATTTCTTACAACAAAATATCATTTTTTAATATTGTCTAATTATCTAATCCCTCTGACATCTCAATAAAAGTTAGATTGGCCCAATCCAATGGCCTTTGATTTGTTTTCGAGCATAATTGACTTTCAATTTATTGAAGAATATTAATTGAATTTATTCAATAATTTCATTCAAAATAGACAAAACAAAGGAGTTAAAAAAATTAACGTGTCTTACTTTTGATGAAAAAGACCAGAAAACGACCAGAAGGCACAGCAATTTGTCAGCCCACAGTAACCGATACCCTATCCCGTTTGAAAAGGCATTCGAATACTTGAAATACTTTATTAATTAATAAATAATACCTTGATTAATTAAACTCAAATACTCGCTGCAGATAAATCTTGCAAATAGCGTCGTACTAAGTTAGATTTTGGTCAATAATGGAGACTAGCCGAATGGACAGTCGTGTGCCCGCCATTTGGCTCACTCCTTACGACCGAAATTAACCTCTTCGAAATGTGCATCGAAATGATAATCACAGAGGCGGAGTGCCAATAAATCTCGCCATCAATTTCCAGCCGGACCGCGATTCCCCGGCATGAACGAAATTCCAGTCCGCGGCCTCGTTATCGAAACCAAGGGACACGGCCATGCAATTCCAACCTTCTAATTATGATACATGACCAGCTGATATACCGTGAGGCTGCCATTGATCGCGTTCAATGTGTTCGTTTACATAGAACCGTTCCCGGTTCTTCAACGTAGAACAAAAGTATATTTTCCGTTATTTCGTTGGTCAGGAAAAATAGATAAAATGCTTGAATTACCGTTTCATATAGGTTTCGAATATTTTTCTTTTAATGCAAATTTCAACCCCCGTTGGAACAGTGGAGATCCGGCTGGATAATTGGACCCGGGGGAATTCGCGCGACTAATTGGTTTCATGTTACATACTCCTAAATTTCGGTTCTTTGTCAGTCGCGTAATAGTTCCTTTCCAATTAGCGAATGTTTTCCTGCTTAACCGTTTAGCGCTTGGAACGGATATTAAACTATCACTTTTAAGAACACACTGCAACGAGTCGAATTTGCTTAAACAGGTTTCGAAAATTCATTTGAACGTTTTCTGTGCGGTTCATTGGACTGCAGATCTTTGCGCAGTTATTTTATGCATAAGTTTGTCAAATACGAGACAAAGTGTACATTGATTAAAACAGTAGTTCAGGCAGAGTTGTGCAGAATTATAATTAAATTACTCAAGGAATTTTGATTACAGAGTAATTCAATTATATTGTAGTCCAATTACAAAGTAATTCAATTATATTGGATTTAAGTTACAAAGTAATTAAATTATATTGGATTTAAGTTACAAAGTAATTCAATTATATTGGATTTAAATTACAAAGTAATTCAATTATATTGGATTTAAGTTACAAAGTAATTCAATTATATGTGATTTAAATTACAAAGTAATTCAATTATATTGGATTTAAATTACGAAGTAATTCAATTATATTGGATTTCAATTACATTGGATTTCAATCACGTTACATTTCAATTACATTGTATTCCAATTACATTGTAACTCAATTACACTGTATTTCAATTACACTCCCGATTATAAACAAACGAATAATTGAACTACCTAACAGATTTGCATTATGTAATTGAATTACAACCTAGTTAAGTTGCAACGTAATTAAATTACAATATAATTAAACTAGCGCAACTCTGAGTTCAGATGAATAGGAGTTCAGCAGAAGTTCATTAAGTTGCCCATAATTTCAATCCAATAAATAGAGTTCCACTGTACATATCGTTCCTTCTCGCTCCGATTAGTGCGATATTTTTCTACGATCGCGTTGTTTCCATATAAGTATTCTGCCAAAGTTGTATCCTAGACATCCGGGTGCACGTGCGCCGATAAATAGCTGCTTTTTTCCAAGGCTCCGCAGATTCTTTGGTTTCCAGGTTTCCCGGGGTCCTGTACCCGGGTCTACCACGCCGAGAAAGGAAGTTCGCGAGGGTGGTTTCGACGTGCGACTGAAACTCGGCCGATCCCTTTGACACGTACAGCACCGCGATCAGATGAAAGGCGCCGGAGCTCGCGGTGCCGGGGGGGAGGGGCGAGTGCAAGGGACGGAAATCTTTTCCCCGGAGGGCTGCGGGCGCGACCGAGTGCGCCAGCATTTTTATCGGGCATACACCTCGGAAATGCGCGTAAAACTTTCATCGAATTCAAAAGCCTGGCAGCGTCGCGATTCGTCCGAGTGAAATCGGCGCGCAGGATAAACTCGAGGCGAAGATCTTCCGCAGCATTTGCCGGGATCGCCCACGGGTTTCATGGAGTTCGGAACGATACTTTAACCCCTTACGGAACCGTCTACGCGAGATGGTATTGTCTAACCGCAGGGGAAACGGCGCCGCGCGGAAGCCGGATTAGTATTTCGAGTTCTTTCTTCGACGGAGACCGAGTCGTCGGGAAATATAACTCGCGTTATCTATCCGACGTTCTCATGCTGTCACCGTCGCGTCATTCGCGTGATATCCAAAGGGTTAAAGTGTTCTTACTTCGACGGTGTTCTTAGTTTGACTTTGTTCTTACTTCGACTTTCGGAATTTATGAAAATTTTGTTGTTAAAGCAATCGATTCACTCTTCCATTTTTCTATTT